CAGGAAGAGGAAATAAATCCCATCAAAGGATGGGAAGGAGCGCCCGGCTCCACGACCCTATTTATTTAAATTACGAGTACCCGGCTGTAATCAGGGATACGCCCGCGTGCCTCTCCGCTCTCCCTGCGTCCCCGCAGTTCCCGGGGTGTTCGGGCTCTCCGGACCCAGGAGGAAAGGCTCAGATAGAACTATTGATGGTGCTGGCACCGTCTGTGATACCTCTCCCGGTAAGATTTGAGCAATGCATGACTAAGGAGGCGGAGTGCAGGAAATGAGTAGTTTAAGAAATGGACCACTAATTCTGCTAATGATTAGCAGTTCAGAGAATATTTTTCGAGGGCAGAGGGCACATTCGGCAAACACCGCGAAGCCCTAAGTTATGCACCACGTATTTTTATCCTGTCCATCTTCAGTGGCCTGAAATACAGCGGTAACAGTAACACAGATCTGACAGGTTCAAGGGCAATTGCGGTCGATACCCAAACGAACAGCACAAGTACAGCAGCCTTGTGTTTAAGGGTGTTGACATGAACGCTGCCATGATTTGGGCGGGGGTGGGGGGTATGACAGGTCAAGTTGGAACTGGTATGTATGTCCCTCTTGTTTTCAAAAAAAAAAAAAATGCAGGCTCGGTAGAGAGAGCAGGAAAATATTTACCAAGAACTTGACAGGTGGTGTTTACAGCTAGTTTGTTCTTTCCACTTCTAAGGTTGAAGTTTAATTGCTATTGATCCAAGACTGCCAAGACAGCCTTCCTGGAGTTAGGTTGGAGGAGCTATTTAAATGAGTTTGCTTTAATATCGCTTAAATAAAACTTGGATGACCTATTAAAAATTTAAATCTGTACCCTCAAGCTCCTGAGCAGAAATTTTAGAAAGACCCCACCCCCTTTATTCTCTTATTTCCTTTAAGAACCCTCAGCATGGACCAATGATGAGAGCCCTGAGCTGGGCTTCAGGATAACAGGGCCTGGTTTGGACTCTGTGTGCCCTGGGGCAAGTCACAGCCTAGGGGACCCAATTTTGCTTGTACAGTGAGAGTATTTGTACCACTTTCTAAAATCCTATTTCTAGTTCTAGGATTCTATGAGAGTAAACCACAGATTTGTGTGATTCTATAAACTGTATTTAACATGTATGGGGATGAAAAAGAACTGATCTCCTGTTTATAACGCTTGTCTCCTTTACCCTTGTTACAAGTTTGTCTTCATCAAATTGAAAAGTTTTAACATTCTGTCATTCTAAGAAATGGCTAGGAGGGTGTTTCTAAGCGTATTAAATGTAGCTTCTCTTTTCTGAACACTTGCTTTGCTGATGACTGCAAAGGGAGGTGTGGTCCCAGAACAGGCACGGAATTCCCATTCCTAAAGTGTACACTCTAGTTCCATCTCCATTTAATTAGCTCTGACGGGAAGCATGTGGCCCTCATCTGTAAAATTAGAAAGCAAATTAAAAGAACTTCAAAGACTGTTAGAGTTCTACACCTCTGTGATATTTTTTTCTTTCCTTGCATCTCAACCTTGTCTGCCAATGTAAACTTAGTTACAGTAGGTGTGCTTTAGTTTTGTTCTCTAACTCTGGAATGGAATGCCAGTCATCTGGTTTTAAAGTGTGTTCATGCACACTCCCTCCCTGGGTCCCGAGGTAAGCATCACCGCTGTGGAAATCACACAGAGGAACCACTTGTAGAGGGCACTTCTGGACTCTTCCATCCCCTCATCAAATGTGATTATCTCCAAATTATTCCAAACCCAGGAACTGTGAGACTTAAGAACAAGGAAATCCAAATAAACTTTCTCTTGGACTGTGTAATTTCTTAAAACATGTTTTCCGGCCTGTCAAGGCAAGAGTAGATGCCTGCTTTCTGAGCTCCTACAATCCACAGTCTCATCATGACACAAGTCTATAGGCACTGTTTACTTGTGAGTTTCTCACACTCTCCATGCATCTGTCCATCCATCCAGGCAAAAATATCTATTGAATACTTACTATGTGCCCAACATTGTTCTAAGCATTAGGGAAGTGAAGGTGAACAAATCCACAAAGATTTTGCTCTCCTGGAGCTTCTGTTCTAGCAGGTGAAGAAAAACGTAGGGCTGCTAGTAGACAATGTGATCTCTCTGCAAGTTAGAAAAAGGCGTGTGGCTTAGGGAATAGACAGCACTTTTTGTGTATTAGGAAGAAGCCTCTTCCTCCAGCCAGACTCAGTCCCTGGCTAAGGGGTTTAGCTTTGGGAAGAGACAGTAGGCTAGATTGCTGGACTCCTTCCTTCCCTCTATCCCTCAGCTTGGTAAACCACCTTACATGGAAGTGACAAGTTCTATGGAGAAAAGTAAAGTCAAGTAAAGGATCTAGAAAGTGATGTGGGCACGTGGGGAGGGGTGTGCCAGCTTATACAGTGTAGTTAAGGAGGATGTCTCTGACAAGGTGGCATTCAAGAAAATAAAGGAAAAAATCATGCAAATATCGAGACCATTTTAAAACATCAATGGCAAATGCAAAGGCCCTGAAGCAGGAGCAAGTTTAATGGGTTCAAGGAACAGCAAAAGGACGGCAAAAGGTTCAATTAAAAATGAGAAGAAAGACCTAAACAAGCATTCTCCAGTGAAGACATATAAATGGTCAATAGGCACATGGAAAAATACTCAATATTGCTAATTATTAGAGAAATGCAAATCAAAAACTACAATGAGGTACCACCTCACACCAGTCAGAACAGCCATCATTCAAAAGTCCACATCAATAAATGCTGGAGAGGATGTGGAGAAAAGGGAACCCTCCTACACTATTGTTGGGAATGTAGTTAGTGTAGCCATTATGGAAAACAGTATGGAGATTCCTCAAAAGACTAAAAATAGACTTATTATATGACCCAGCAATCCCACTCTTGGGCATATATCCAGAGGGAACCTTAATTCAAAAAGATACATGCACTTAATGTTCACAGCAGCACTATTTACAATAGTCAAGACATGGAAACAAAGTAAATGTCCATTGACAGGTGACTGGATAAAGAACTTCTGGTATATTTATACAATAGAATACTACTCAGCCATAAAAAAGAATAAAATAATGCTGTTTGCAGCAACATGGATGGACCTGGAGAATGTGATTCTAGGTGAAGTAAGCCAGAAAGAGAAAAATACCACATGATATCACTTATATGTGGAATAAAAAAAAAGACAAAAAAACTCATTTACAAAACAGAAACAGACTCATAGGGATAAACTGGGAGTTCGAGATTTGCAGATACTAATATATATAAAATAGATAAACAACAAGTTCATACTGTATAGCCCAGGGGAATGTATTTAATATCCTGTAGTAACTTATGGTGAAAAAGAATATGAAAATGAATATATGTATTTTCACATATGACTGAAGCATTATGCTGTACACCAGAAATTGACACATTGTAAAGTGACTACACTTCAATAAAAAATATATATGTATGCCCCCCCCCAAAAAAAAGAATGAGAAGAAAGACCAGAGAATGGGTCAGCAAAAGAGCAGGTCATTCAGGGTCTTATCAGCAATCATTCTAAGTCTCCACCCACCCACCAGTGATGCTGAGTGTCTGCTGGGTGGCGGGCCCTGTGTGATCAGCTCTGAGGTCTTGTGAACCGCAGCTCTATACTCACCACCAAGCCTTTAGCCTTCAGCACAGTGCCTGGCTTATTACTAATGTTCAGTAACAGTAAGCTGAGTTGTCTTCAGGAACTCACCAATAGTAGAGATTCCGGCCTCTCTCTGGATGTTGGTTTCCTATTGCTGCTGTAACGAGTCACCACAAACTTAGAGGCTTAAAACAACAGAAATTTATTATCTCCTCGTTCTGGAGATCAGAAGTCTAGAAACACGATGTTGGCAAGGCTGGTTCTTTCTGCAGGCTCTTGGGAAGAATTGTTTTCTGGCCCTTGCCAGATTCTAGAAACCACCTGTTTTCCTTAGTTCTCGGAAACATGTTCAAATCTCTGACTACTTCCACTTGAAAAGACCCTTCTGATTACATCAAGCCTCACCCAAGAAACCCACGATGAGCTTATTTTTTAAAAACAACTTTACTGTGGTATTTCTGTACACTACACATATTTCAGGTGTACAATCTGATGAATTTTGTTAGATGTATACACCTATGAAACGACCACCACAATCAAGATAGCTAACATTTCCATCACTCTCAAGAGGTGTAAATTTTCTAACTCCCAATTTATCCCTTCCCACCCCCTTTAACTCCTGGTAACCATAAGTTTGTTCTCTATGTGAGTCTGTTTCTGTTTTGTAAATAAGTTCATTTGTGTCTTTCTTTTTTTTTTTTTTTTTTAGATTCCACATATGAGTAATATCATACGGCATTTTTCTTTCTGGATTATTTCACTTAGAATGACCATCTTCAGGTCCATGAGCTCCTTATTTTAAGGTCAGCTGATTAACAACCTTAATCTATCTGCTAATTTAATTCTCCTTTGCCACATAAAATATTTAAATTCCCTGGAATCAGGGCATGAACCTCTTTGAGGGGAGGGGAAGTATTCTTCTGCCTACCAGAGGGTGTTTAAGCTAATTTAAATGTACAGGTTTAGTGGGGGAGGATATAGCTCGGTGGTAGAGCACATGCTTAGCATGCATGAGGTCCTGGGTTCAATCCCCAGTACCTCCTCCAAGAATAAAAAAATTAACCTAATTACTTCCCCTCCACATTTAAAAACAT